CAGTAAATCCTTCAGTAAATACTTCAACTTGAAGCCTCACTCTTAACACTGGAGGAGGCTTTAGTACAGTACGCTTCACTTTACTTAGAGCGGACAAATATGACTTATGAGCTCTTATAATTTGTTATGATCAGTACTTATAATGTATTATGTTAACAATTCATAATGCATAATAAACATGGCTATAAAGTGTAATGCATTTTTCTAAATATTTATAGCCATGTTTATAGCGCCTTATGAACGCATTATAGATTCTTATAGACATAGTGTTCATGAAAAATGTTACAGATTTTTTTTTAACTTAACACGCCTTAAACTGATTTAAAGGCTTTTAACACATCATAAATGTAATATTTATGTCCGAACCAGCATTTTAGTATTACAGTCCAGCCACTGGTACTCAGTAGTAAGTTATGAAGCAGCAGGTTGTGGTTTTAAGGCCCTACTCCATTCCAGTAATGCTGTGTGCTTTTAAAGCAGTGGTTTGGGAGTTCAGCTGGCATGTAAGGGGCTGCAGTTTGAAGCCTGGTCAGGTCGGCTATTCCGCTGGCTCTTTACCCTCGCCCGGCTGCACAGAGCCAAAGAATAACATCATCTGTCAATCAGTGCTGCATCCGGCCCAAATGACTTCTCAATATCAGCTAATAATAACCGCTGAGTACACAAGCTTTTCATCTGGCCTTAGAAAGGAAAATGCTCTGGGTGGGGCTGAACTCAGTGCCAATGGTGGTATTGCTGGTTGGGTGGGATGTTGACACTGGGCTGTTGGGTCAGTATGAGGGGAAGGGTGGTGCCGTTTATGGAGAGGAGAGTTTGGGTGGTAATAATGATGGCCGTTAAAGGGTGAGGTTGGATGATGATAATTATGGGGTGTGTTTCAATACCCAGTGAGCTGCCCTGCTCCTTATTGGCTACTGTTTAGGTAGTTAGCATTTTAATGTATAAAACAGACCATAGCAACGCTTTAATTAGAGTGATTACACCAATCATTCTCACCCCTGACACACTAACGTTACCCAGCCAACAATAACCTCGCGCTAGCCATCTTAGAAGGTAGTTAGCTGTCTGCAAAAGATGAGGACTTGAGTTAGTGACTCATGACTCGATTTGGACTCCCTTTTAACAGAATTATGACTCTGCTAAAGCCTGAGTAGACTGATAAATCAATGTGATGATCAGTTATTAATCTCAGTGTTACTGAGCTCTGCTAAAGCCTGAGTAGACTGATAAATCAATGTGATCAGTTATTAATCTCAGTGTTACTGAGCTCTGCTAAAGCCTGAGTAGACTGATAAATCAATGCGATGATCAGTTATTAATCTCAGTGTTACTGAGCTCTGTTAAAGCCTGAGTAGACTGATAAATCAATGTGTTGATCAGTTATTAATCTCAGCGTTACTGAGCTCTGCTAAAGCCTGAGTAGACTGATAAATCAATGTGATGATCAGTTATTAATCTCAGTGTTACTGAGCTCTGCTAAAGCCTGAGTAGACTGATAAATCAATGTGATGATCAGTTATTAATCTCTGTGTTACTGAGCTCTGCTAAAGCCTGAGTAGACTGATAAATCAATGTGATGATCAGTTATTAATCTCAGTGTTACTGAGCTCTGCTAAAGCCTGAGTAGACTGATAAATCAATGTGATGATCAGTTATTAATCTCAGTGTTACTGAGCTCTGCTAAAGCCTGAGTAGACTGATAAATCAATGTGATGATCAGTTATTAATCTCAGTGTTACTGAGCTCTGCTAAAGCCTGAGTAGACTGATAAATCAATGTGACGATCAGTTATTAATCTCAGTGTTACTGAGCTCTGCTAAAGCCTGAGTCGACTAATAAATCAATGTGATGCTGTGTGTCTGATCCGCTCAGACCAGCACAACATGCACTAACACACCACCACCACATCAGTGCAGTGCTGAGAACTTTTTCATAGTATTCTGCCCAGCTCTGAAGATATGATGCTGTATTAAAGTTGGTCTTAAACAAAACTGCCAGCATATTTTATCCAAGAATTCAGACTGTCAGCTCTCTAGGTATTGAGACATGGCCTCGCTGCATGCCGAGCAGTCAGAGAAGTACTTTTACTTCATTAAGGGTTAGAGGGGACCTGGCAGGGCAGGGGCATTGAGCATAGTTTGTGGTGAGTTCTGTGCTGGACTCTGGCCCTTCAGCACCACTTGGACTTGGACTCCCCTGTTGCAGGGAGTGAGTTGTGTGGTTTTGAGGGTCACTGCTGGGTCAGTTATAGGTGAGCTGAGTGGTGTTGGGTGCTGGCAGGCTTCAGACTCAGAGTTTTTATTCTAGGCTTCAGGAAGACACACCCAGGGCGGGCTGTGGGAGCGGGGCACCGCAGAGGCAGCCCAGGCCCAGCTGAAGGAGCTATTCTGGGCTTCAGATTGATTTGCGGCTCCTTCAGCACTCAGGTCCGCATTACACGTTCACCACAAGCTTGACAGTCGGTTTGAGCACAAAGCAGCACAGCAGCGAATACACGCTTTTAATACGGCGATTAGAAGCTGCGTAACGGCATCGCTGAAATAGCATCAGCTGATTTTCAGCTGGGTGTTCTTTCCTCATTGTTTTCCAGGCTGTCTCTTATTTGTTTATTTATTCTCTATTTATATATTTCTAAATAATTCTCCTGCCTGTCTGTGTTTGCTTCTTTGTTTATTTCCGTTGCTTTCTTTCTTTTTCTTTTGTTATCTTGTCCATCTCTTTGTAGTTTCTGTCTTTCTTTCTTTCCCTTATCTGTCCTTTCTTTCTTTTTTTTCTGTGGCCTTCTTTCTTTCTCTCTCTCTCTCTCTCTCTCTCTCTCTCTCTCTCTTTCTCTCATCCTGTCCAGCAGAAAGCCACAAATAATCACGTGTCCCTCTCGGTTCTCCATAGCAGTGGCCGGATTGGAATGAAATATTAGTTTATTCCTCTCGCTCTTTGGTTTTGGAGATGGAGTTATTTGCAGGCCTGTGGCGGAGAGCTGGCCGGCGTGCTGACCTCAAACGAGCTGCCGAGACGCTGCCCAGGAATTCAACAGGAATCCCAAACCTCTGCTTAATGCTTAAACCAGAACAGCCTGCTGAGGAGAACACCACTCACTGCATTGTTCCCTCTGCATACTCACCCATACACCTCCATCTGTGTGTGTGTGTTTGTATTTGTTTTCATACTTTTTCACAACAAGAAAAGATTATTATGACATACAGGTATTTACGTACAGTACTTCAAAAAAAGCTAAAGATTTCGGCACCTGAGACAGCTTGAATTAAAAAGGACAGTAAATGTTTATTTGCATATAAAAACACTAATATTAGAATATAATACAATATTATTAACACAATAAGTGGTGGTTTATGTGCTCGTGACTTTCTGCTTCTTTTGTTTTGCTGTGTCGTATCATAATATTGTCATGTTATCAGGCGCTATATAGCTTGATGCTTGGCATAAACAGAGATTATAAAGCGTTTGTCTAATGTCCCGATAGAAACCGTGAACTTGTTCTAAAACACATGCGTCAGGTTCCAGTCCTCGCGGGCCAAAACACTGCAGACTTCAGCACACTGCTTCATTAAACACACCAGTTTCAGCTCATCAGCTAATTAGCAAGGCCTTAATCAACTGAATTCAGAGCGTTAGATAAGGGGGAAAACTTATCTCCTTACCACTTTGTCCCGGAAGGTCCACAGTTTGACCTGCCACTTCTGAAAGGACTTTTTTTTACCGCACTGTAAAAATAACATTTAGGGTTTTATCTTAAAAAGTTAGTTACCAAGCTGGCCCAGGTGTTTTAGTTATTGGTTATAACAGGGCATTAAAGACAAATTATTGTCCTGTTAACTGACTGAAGTTCAGTTCACCTATTTTTTTAGGCTGCCTGGTGACTCATTTTTTAAAGTTAAAACCCCAATTATTGCTTTACAGTATGTTGATCTGCTGCTGCTCAAGCTGTTTCAATTGAGCTGCACTGACTGGAGAGTGAGTGGACATTTCGAATCGGTTCATATGTCATACATATTATACATATGGTGCTGTAAATGAGTGTAGATGCATCCAGACAGGGGTTAGGCATGATACAGTGAAGCAACAAGCAGGTGCAGTTCACCAGTTTTGGATCCAGATGATTTGAAATCATCCAAGTGGTGTTAAAGGACGGTTCATTATTGGGAGCTTCAGTAACAAAGACTAACAAGAGGCTAATGTCTCAGTAGCAGTAGTGAATAAAGTGGCGTCTGCATTTAGACCTGTGGGAAATGCATCAGTAAAAAGGTGTCGAAATTGTGGTTGAAAGCTGACATTCAGTGTGCGAGATGCTCATGCATTAGTGTGAAAAACAGAAGAGCAGCTGTTGCTCAGCCGACTGAGACTGTCAGTGGGGGACGTGATCGGACTGTCAGCAAGAACAGTCCATCAGTAACTGCATACAGAGTGATATTACAGTAGGGCTAAAGTGCCTAAACCCCTCATTACGAAGACGAACGACCAAATGGTGCAGAAACCAAAGCCAAAGACGTAGAAAACAATGAGTCGCCCTTCACCGTATTCTTCTCAAGTGGGAGAGTGCATGTGCCGCATACACCAATAGAATGATCCAGGCCTGAATGCTTGACCCCTACTGTGAGTGGGTGTGGTGACTTTGTTATGCTGTAAGTGGGCATTTTACTTGCATAGACGGAGGGGTCACTGTAAAGCAGTACATAGTTATTCTGACTGGACAGCTTTATCTTAAATGTATGTAAATCATATGTATATGTAAATCACATGCAGTGGCCTTCCCAGTCACTAGATCTGGACCCAGTTCAACACCTATGGGTGATTCTGGACCGACAGCACTCTGTACTACCATCATGGAAACATCAAGTGTGGGAATATCTTTTGGAAGAACGACGCTCCATCCCTCCAGTACAGCTCCAGAAACATGTAGAATCACACTGGAGCTGTTCTGGCAGCTCATGATGGACCAACAGTGTACCGTAAGCATGACCACTGTGTGTGTATGTTCACAGGTTATGAAGAGGTGATCAGGATTCCTAAAGGATCTGTGTTCATACACATCCAGGAACTCAACGTTTCCCTTAATTATTTGGGTGAGAAAAGATGATTTATTGTTTGAATTTTCAGATGTTATCCACTATTTTCTCCTTGATTGGTAATGTGATGTCGTCTGGGCCTGTATAGTAGTAAGGATGGCTTGTTAGTAATGGGCAAAATGGCAAAATCAAAATGTCAAGATATTTTCATGATACAAATAATGTTATTGTGTAATTATATAATGTGTATATTTTATATGAACACTTAATCAGGAGGGCATTAATTAAGCTGTAGTGGATTGTACAGTATTGAACTGCACATGCACAAACATTCATATGTTCACCCTCAGTTCCCCAGTGACAACAATAAAGATTCTGATAGCTATAATTTATAATTGTTATTATTGCTAACTTTACCCTGCTAACATTCATTCATTACTAGGCAAGGCCCATATGGTAGAAAAATATAAATATATGTACATATATTTGCTCATATTAAAATATGTGCAGTGTAAGTGCAATATATGTGATGTTTTAAAATAGATGTGCTAAATATATTTAATGGTATATATATATATATATATATATATATATAATTATACACACACACACACACACACATATATATATATATATATTGCTAATATATGCACAATAATTTACTAAAATATATTGAAATAAATATGCATATTTATATATGAATATTTTAAGAAAGAAGGTACGTTTTAAAATTGAGGTTTTAAAAAACGTGTTTTATGTAAGAACGTAATAAGTTTGATTCCATATAAATATGCTTATTCTCTTATTGGGTGTAGGGGTGGGGTTATGGTAACAACTTTGGCCCCCTAAGACAAACTTTGGTCATTGCTGCTATAAAGTATTCATCAGTCCTTGGGATAACAGTGCTAGTATTCAACCTTCAAGTGAAGTAGATTAAACCTTTAAGCGCTGTTGTCAGTTATGTATAGTTTATTGAATTAACATTTTGAGACAGTTAAAGTTTGTAAAAGAAGTGAATTAGGTGCTAGAAAGATGTGAATTGCAGTTGCTAATGGAAATAAAAGGGAGATAAAATATGATTTGTTGAAACAGTAGCAGTAATATTTTGGTGTAAAGTATGTCTTTAACTGGTAACACCTTCACTGCAGTTTTGAAGAGTAAAGGTGACCAGTACTTCATCAACGGCAAACTGACCATCGACACACCGCGCCGCTTCGACATCGCTGGAACCACCTTCCACTACCGCAGGCCTGCCGACCAGCCGGAGACCCTCGAGGCCTTAGGTCCCACCAACATGACCCTCATCGTCATGGTAACGAGTCATGTGCTGCATGTATAGTTGATGCTCTTTGTTTTGGCCTGCTGGAAGGAACAGTTACTACAAGTGTTTTAAAAGAACAGTTCACTGAAAAAATCTAATGTGCACAATTTTCCCCATATGCATTATTATTATTGTTTATAATGTAAAAAATGGTCAATGTATGGACAAAATTCAGGTTTCATGACTGCTGCTACTACAGTCATAGCTACGTGACATATGATAGGTTATTTCAACCATTATACAGTGTCAGAAACCACATAAGCAAATCTATTGGAGATTAATTAAAAAGGTATGCATTACGCATTACTTGTTAGCTAGACTCTGCAAAAAAATGATTCTTCAAGGGTTCTTTAGTAAAGAAAATGGTTCTCAAGCACTCAAAGAGCCCTTTGCATGATCAAGGTGTTCTTTGCATCATGAAAGGGTTCTTCAGATTGATGGAGAATGTGCTGTAGATGGTTCTGTATAGCACCTTGTTGAAAAAGTGTCCTATATAGCACTAAAGAGGTTTCTTCTACCATTACAACGTCAAACTTGTAACAAAAGAAGAACCCTTTTTGGTGCTATATAGAACCATATACAGAAAGGTTCTGTAAAGAAATGTCGACAACACTTTCTCCATCAATCTAAAGAACCCTCTGATCATGCGAAGGGTTCTTTGAGTGTTCATGGTTCTATATGGAATAGTTTTCTTTACTGAACCCCTAGAAGAACATTAGTCCCATAACCACATTACAAAGCTAAAGAAGTAAATATCAGACACCAAACATGTCTTTGCTCATTGACTTTTATTGTAAGGGGAAAATTGTGTAGATTATATTTTTTTGGCAAACTGCACCTTTAAGATCATTGAGTTCATATTTCATATGCACAACACAGTGAGAGCAATAAACGTATTAAAGCTGTGTTTTGCCTGACAGAGTTTGTATTGTATTTGCAGCCTTAAAGCTGTTCATCATTGCATGTTAAACTGTTTACTGCTGTGTGTTTCTGTTCTAGGCCTGTTTATCTGTGTGTGATTCTGTTTTAAAGCTGTTTATGGTATGTATATTTATGTGTTTGTGTGTGGCAGGTTCTGGTGAGAGAGGAGAATCCAGGTATTCATTACCGCTTTAACCCCCCTGTGAACCGGGACACCCTGAGTGGTTTCGCCTGGCATTACACGGCCTGGAGCCGCTGCTCCGTCACCTGCGGTGGAGGTACACAACAACAATCTCTCGCACGCACACAGATTCAGGTGCTTTTCCAAACTCTCAGGCCATCACACACACATGATTGTATGCAAAAGTTTGAACCCTCTGGGCCAAATTACATGTTTTGTTGATTTTCTAAGTGAAGCACATCCTCTACAGTAAACTAACTTAATTATGGCATTGATCTGCACATATTAGTGCACAATTTCTATTTATTTACTGAGTTTTAAACATTGGAAAAAAAAATCATAAATATAAAATGTGCAACATTTTCTTTCGTTGTTATTTTATTTAGTAGATTTTGACACAAACTAAATAAAATCCATGATTAGACATACAAGTCATACATCAGCCTCTTTTTTTATTACTATGATTTAATAATAAGTGCTTATCGATTCAAATTGCACTCCAGTCAAGCTTGAGCACTTGCCTGGAAAAAACTGCAGTGCATCCAACAATAAAGGCAGCACGGAGCATCTTTTATGAATTGTTAGAAAACAGAATAGCACACAGAAAGCTCCAGTTCCACTTGCTAATCCACTTTGCTATGGCCAGTGTGGACATTTATGTGCTGGGATAGACTTGGCCAGGTTTTAATGAGGGAACCCAAGAGTTATTTATTTCTTTTATTTATTTTTAAGAAAATTAGTCCCAGAATACCTTAAAATTGGCTTTTCATTCATTCATTTTTATAGTCAAGCAATAAATATTCAAATTTAGTGCATTTACTGGATTAAGAATAATGGGATATTTCAAACTCTGAAAGATTCACAGCTTTATTTTTGTTAGATGCTTAACTTTTCTCCTCAACCAAAAGAACAAAAACACTCAAATTCTGAATGTTGTCACTAGGCATTCAAATACAGTTAAGTTTCATGCTATAACGTTACTGGGAATTATTTCTGTAGTTTAACATAGTCCAGGATATCCCTAAAAGTGATAACCACAAATGTAAAAAACTTCCACTGCACAGCTCAGGGAACTTAAAAAAACTGGTTTGGTTAGCCTACCTTGGGTGGTTGATTAGCCAAGCTGTTGAATGGTGAGGTTTCTCAGTCGAGTACATCGACCTTCTGGGCCCTGAGGGTGTTTTCTCGATTTGTGCATATCTTCTTAAATTCTCCTTTAAAGGCTGTACATATAATGATACTCATATGTTTCATATCAAAATGCTCCGTTATCTTCATCACTACTTTCCATAACCAGTGCAGCAACTTCAGCAGCTGTAAACTCTCTGCACGCCATTTCACACGTCTCCAATGTGGACTGAATGAAGAATGAAAGAACGAAAATCACATCACAGAGATTTTAATAGCTATCAGTTTGCACCTCTGTTCCGTTGTAGAGTTCACCTCAATTCGGTTGTGAACTCCGCAGCTTTTGATTGATTGAGTGATTGAGCCATGTTAGAAAATCCTCTCTCACTAAGTTCAACCAGAGGAGCCACACTTCATATAGAAACACAAGATCTGAGTGGAAATGAAATGGTGAAACTCAATTACTGTAATATTGAAATAGCCTGATAGTTTGTATCTTTGTTTACTTTTATATAGATAGTGCGCTTTTGTTAATATACATTTTTATTTACTTTATATCATCTAAGACTGACATGACATAAACATGCCAGTTTTCCCTTTAGCATTGTAACAGAACAAAACCAGCCAGACGGTCATGATAAAAAACCAGAAAATGAGGCTTTACTTGAAAAGGGTTTGACTCGTAGTCAGTAAACAGGTGGTGGTCAAATCCAAAAAGACCAAAAATACAGAGAACAACAAACATAACAAACAATATCAGGCAACCAGATCCAAAGGGGTGAAGTCAAAAGGTCAAAAAACACGGTCAGGAAGCACAAATAGCAACATAACACACAGAAAAGCTCAGTAGCTCTGCGGTGAGAGAGCCAATACCTCACAAAGACCCTGTGCTAAAGCCTTGGCTTAAACACTAAACTAAATCTAGTCATATGACATACTTCACAGGTGAAACAGGTTAGTATTCGAGTGACGTGGAACGTTGATTGGTGGATTGTGGAAGTTCATGGGTCATGTGATCTCCCAGAGAGTTATGTGAAATGGATTCTTTACGAATGTCAGAGCTGGGAGGATGTGCGACAAGCATGCTCTGTTGTCTGTTGGAGACAACAGTGGAAATTACAAAAAAAGGTTTTGGGAATTTCTAAAAAAAAAAAAACAATAATAAATGTTATGTTGTAAAGTTGTGTTACCATTTCTTTTCTAATTCTGTATCAAAAATGTATCATACTGTGAAGGAGAAATGAAAATATTGTGAAATCTGTGTATCGTTACACCCCTAGTTGCCACCAACAGTACTTAACCCCTTAAGATCACAGGCTTATTACATATTAAGGCTTATTATTCAGCTACTGCAGGGATTTCAGTATAAAACTAGCTGAGCTATTCTTAGGTTTGAAGTGTGTAGTAAAACTTGGGGCCCACCGGTGGGCCCTGGCCATTTAAGCGATTAAACAGTAAACAGTAAACCTAGGTCTTTATCCAGCCAGTTGAACACTGGGAACAACTATAAGGTTAATTACAACGGTAACGGTAACACTTTCTATGAATGTCACGTTTGTAAGCATCTATAAACACATTTATAACATGTTATAATGCATTCATATGGCATTATAAACATGATTATAAACATTTATAAAATTGAATTACACTTCATAGCCATGTTTATTATACATTATGAATTGTAAAGACAAATACAAGCTACCTTTCCCACATTGGGTAAAACACTGATGGCAGCTCTAGTTTAAACTCTGACATTTGAAGCCTGTAATGTGCTTTATTGTGTATGTTTTAGTTTTTCAGTAAATCCTTCAGTAAATACTTCAGCTTGAAGCCTCACTCTTAACACTGGAGGAGGCTTTAGTACAGTACGCTTCACTTTACTTAGAGCGGACAAATACGACTTATGAGCTCTTATAATTTGTTATGAACCGTACTTATAATGTATTATGTTAACAATTCATAATACATAATAAGCATGGCTATAACATGTAAGGCATTTTTATAAATATTTATAGCTATGTTTATAATGCCTTATGAAAGCATTATAACATGTTATGAATGTGCTGATAGATGCTTACAAAGGTGACATTCATAGAAAGTGTTACCATTACAACTTACACCTCCTTAAACTAATTAAAATCCAGATGATTGTATTTACGTAAATACATCAGGGAACAAAGAACTTTTCATTTATTTCCATTGGTCATTTAACCCTTTTGTTTCCACCGAGAGCTTAACAATGAAATAAGAGTGTTTCTACAATACTTGCAGAGTTCAAATACAAAAAGCATCATGAATATATTTAATAAATATGAACTAAAATTTTCATGTATTATATATTACACAGAAATCATTAGGCCTCTTCTGCAGGCTTCTGACATACAGAAGGGTTTTAATAAAGCTGTACTGAATTCTACAGTGCTGAACCACACAAACACATACTGACACAAATACTTGCACTCATACATGAGACATGAGATGGAGAAAAGAAACAGCGGCCAAAGTGTGGGGAGAATATTTTGGATGGCTTACTTACAGAGAACACACAGCTGAATCTGATTAGAATCTCATTGCACGCTTTGTACACACATACACACACACACACACACACACACACACACACACACACACACACACACACACACTTGGATACATTCATACAACAAATACACCAAAAGAAATGGATCCAAGAACAGAATATATACAGTGTGAAACCGCGCTACATGACCAATCTCACGATCTTTGGCCCATCTTTGCATCAACAACACACTTTCGAAACTTTGCTACAAACATACAGTGCTGTGCAAAACTCAGAGGCCAGCTGTTCACTTACTTAACTTCCAATCAAAACAGCCATTAAGTACAAGTTATTCATTTTTCCAGGAAGGTGTTTCTGGGGAGATTAGATATAAGATAATCCACTTGCATAAGGGAAAAGAAAGGCAAAGGAAAATAAGTGCAAAAATTTCCAGTTACCAAAACTGGAAAGAGAAAACGGGGCTGCTAACAACCACCTGGAAGACCTGGTAGACACCAAAACTGCCCCCATCAGATAAACAGCACTTAAAGCTTTCATCTTTGAGAGAGAGGAGAAAATCAAGCTGCTTCAGATCTGAAAACATCCACAGGTGTTTCTGTCCATCCTTCCAGTGTGAGAAGACGACTCAGCGCTGTGGGTCTGAAAGGATGTGTAGCTGTCAAGAAGAACCTCACTGAGAAAAGGAGACGGACACATCAAACAAAGAAGCTGGACAATGGACTGACCACCCCAGAGTCCAGACCTCAACACCACTGAATGTGTTTGATTACTTCAGAAAATGATCAACCAACTTCTAAGACTGAACTTTGGAGGTGTGTCTGCAGATTTCTTAGAGAAACTGAAAGTGAGACTCCTGAAAAGAATGGAAGCTGTAATAAAAGAAAAGAGTGACTAAATACTGAAAAAGCATGATATTTAGTTGAGGCTTCTGTGCAATTTTCTGTTAAATGTATATTTTTTGCTCTACGCTGAAAAATAACTTGTACATAGTGACTGTTTTGACTGGACATTAGATAAAGGGTGGTCTCTGACTTTTCAACCTTCCTATCGCATCAAAACACATCCTGGGAACCGCCCCCCCACACACACTCTCTTGTATTTGATATCTACCCCACATTAACATGGGAATGGAACGGCTGTTTAAAGAGCGACCCAGCATAGCTGTGGAATGGCCTCTGAAGTCACTCTCCCCCTTCATCTGGCCTTTGGGAGTTAATTAGCCGGGACAGCATCTCTGATAAGGAATAATTAGCCGTGCATGAGAGGTAATTTGTTTCGGAAGGCTGAGAACTTTCAACAATGGCTCACGCTGCTGGAAAGAAAGGATTGCTTCACTTTCCTCTCCTGCAATACAGAGTGATGCTAGCTAGTTGTGGACGTCTGCTAAGACGATATCAGAGACAAAGAAAAATCAAATGAACCCAATTTTCCACCTCACACCAAATGTAGCCAATCAGCCGAGACGTGCTTCTATATTTTTGCGCTGGTGCTGTGAGGCTAACGTTCCACTGGTGTTCAGAAGTTTGGAATCAATGTTTTCAACAATATAAAACCAGTTTGCATGCAGATAAATGTATAAAATGATTGTAATGTGCTCGTCCAGTGCAGTATCATACACTTTCAAACAATAAGTAAGAAAATAAGACAACTAGGAGTCTGTAAATAAAAATAAGGAAATGTCGGATGGGTCCAGATTGATGAACAGAGCTGTAGATGATTCTAAGATGACTCAGAAAGCTGTATAACGTCAGGAATTAAGTTAAGAAATCAACATATAGAAATTCATCATAATTATAAAGATAAAAAAGTATTGTAAATTTACTGTAAGGGCCCAGGCTGCCATAAGTTCAGGGAACTCCAATTCCCAGAAGCCCTTGGGCTGATTAGGTCCAACCTGGCACACCTGTGGACTCTTCTACTTAAGGCTGTGGCAAACGGCAGCCCTTTGTCACACCTTTGTAGAGGGGTGACCGGTACGGGACTTAGCCCAGGTGGGCAGGGCAGGGCAGAGCAGGGCAGAGCAGGGCAGAGCAGGGCAGGGCAGGGCAGGGCAGGGTAGGGCGAGGCGAGGCGAGGCGAGGCAAGGCAAGGCAAAAGAGGGCAAGTGCCCCAAAACTACTTAAAAACCAAAAGAAGTCTTCAGCAACAAACGGCTCCAAGCCATACAAAAGGTGCTCCACTAACAGCAAACAGGTAAAACATAAAGTCTGCCTTCCTCTCAGAATCACAGAGGAAGTGTTTTTTGTTTTCTGATTATCTTTTATATCACTTTTCTAGTTCAGCCTTTGTTTGAGCACGCTGCTTTCAGCATCCCCTTTGTTTTGACTTTATTTGGGGTAAAAACAAAGTAAAAATAGTGTTAAAACAGGGCAAAAATAGTGTTAATTAAATTTTCCCAAACTGTCACTTGTGGCATAGTATGAAATGATGCTATAAAGCAACGCATGCTAGCCTTTTCTTCCCAGACTGGTAGCTGTCATGTGAGAGAACTGGGCTGCCGTTTGGTGGGCTTTGTCTCTGATTCTTAGTGGAGGAAAATCAGCAATGAATAAAGACGTCTGATGATTTGTGTTGTGTTTCATGTCTCTCTCAGGGGTGCAGATCCAGCAGGTGGTGTGTAAGAAACAAGCGGATCACTCAGTGGTCTACAACCACTTCTGTGACAAGAGGAACAAACTTAAAGACAAGAAACGTCCCTGCAACACAGAACCCTGCCCCCCAACGTGAGTACGCTCAGACTGTGTCTGCCCCCCAACTTTATATCGATGCCCATGATTTTGGAATTAGATGTCCAGCAGTCTCATACAGGTGTGATGGTCAGGTGTCCACAAACTTTTGGCTATAATGCTATATCCATGCTAATAGCAAGCTCCCCCTCCTGCGCATTGAAATGACATTGCATGAAAGTAAGTCTACTGTTGACATGTAATACTTTTATATTTAACACCAGCTATTGCAGATCTACTGTACTGCTGGCAGAGTAACTTCACTACCACATTTAACAGAGCTCGCTGGTTTGTTTGGTGTATTTTGGTGAGGTTGCTAGTCTAATGTCGTCAGTTCAGTGCGCAGTAGTGTTCAGAGGATCCAGTGACATTCAGATGTAAAATATATGCATGTAAATATAGGTGTGATGGTCAGGTGTCCGTATACTTTTGGCCACGTAGCGTATATTAGATGAAAAATGTAATCTTAGTAACACTTTTCTGTAGGTTAGCGCTTATAAGACTTTCACAACAACTGACTTAAATCTGTATAAACACATTCCTATAGGGTGTCACTGTTCATAAAGGTTGCATTTGCCAGTTTTGATGTCAAATTGATATCAAACATTGTGTCAGGTCATTTTTTTCCTGACATCCTGGGGTGAACTGTGATAGCTCGGTGTATGTCACAGTGACAGAATGCTGATTATATGACGCAGCATGCCACATCAGGCTGCTTGACCAAAAGTAAGCATTTTCTTTAAAAAAAACAATGAAGTATTCAGACCTTAGATATTTACAATGATAATGTTATGATCTGTTTAAACCAGGCATGTCAAACTGGGGACCTTCCAGGCCAAAGTGCTGTGGAGATCAGCGTTTACCCTGATCTGAAGCTCTGAATTCAGTTCAAGAAGGCCTTACTAATTAGCTGATGAGCTGAATCAGGCACTTTTACTGAGGCAGTGTGCTGAAGTCTGCAGAGTTTTGGCCTACGAGGACTGGAGCCTGACACGTGATCTAAACCTTATGCATCAATAGAGACAGTAATAAGCTAAACATGTACAAAATGATCATGTATAGGGCACTTTCTATTGGGAGGTGTCTGTCCCAAATTCTAACTACTAATTTTACACTTCTAAAAATAATACTTTTTTTTTGCTTTTTGCTTTTTTCCAAGCTTTTTTTTTAAAAGATCTTTTTTTTAATTTATTTTAAAGTTATACGTTTATTTATTTTAAAGTTAGATTTATTATTACTTTAATTTTTTAATAAATTCATTTTAGAGCAGAAAAGGAGGCTGCATCATGGCCAGTACCTCATGGCCATATGGTGAGCAGTTAGATCCCATTGTTTTGAACAAAATGTCCCAAAGTCTGAAAATCATTGTGTACCATTAAGAACTGTCACTTCCAAAACACATATTTTCCACAACTGTGTATTTGTGTTTTAATGAAAACTGTTCAAAGCTGTGTTTGCTAGTCACATCCTGGCTAGTGTTTTTCAAAAGTTCAAAATAAGCTCAACATTTGCTAAAATTGTCACTACTGAAACAGTCACCACTGAAACATTTGGTAAAGCTCCATTATACTGCATTGTACTGGCAGTGGAATGTTCATTCATTTGTTTTAATAACATTAACATAAGTGAGGCATAAAGTCACAGCAGAAGGATTTTGGTCTAAAGTTCAAGTCACTTAAAAGTACAAAATGTGTTTTTAAGACTGACTTTGAACCTGAGTTCGGTAGAATAATCCATATACACTAAGCTGCAAATTCAGTTGTTATAACATGCTATGTCATTTCATCCAAACAAGTGTCATGACTTAATCCAACGTCAGTTACCTGATGCAAGTGTTATATCAACTTGACATTAGAGTTGACACAAGCAGCCTTTATGATAGACAACACCTGCTGGAATAAGCCTTTATAAATGCTTTTCTAGGTTTATGGCAGTTGTCGTGACAAGCTTATGTAAGGCCAATGAAGCCTTATGAACACTACCCTACAGTAGTGTTACCGATTACTTAAATCCTGTTTTAATATTAATTATAGCACTTAATTTTCCTTATTTTTGGGAAAAGTAAGACAGCTGTAGGGATAACTCATCGTTCTCTGACAGTAAGTGAGCATATTAGCTACATTTGAAATGGCATTTTTAGTGTGGTCACGTTGGGTCACGTTATAGTTGTGGAAGCTTTCGTAGTCAGTCGTGTCATTCATGATTGTAATCTTATTGTATATCGTAAAAGGTTGGTCACCTTTAGTTTAATGTATCTATATCTTTGTCAATGTATCTCTCTCTCTCTTTTGCAGTTGGTGGGTGAGCGATTGGTCAGAGTGCAGTAGAAGCTGTAGCGGTGGGGTGCGGACACGGGAGGTTTTGTGTAAGAGGAAAATCACCCCCTCAGATGAGAAAGTTCAGGATGACTCAAGCTGCACCTCACCACGGCCCCCCCTCACTGAGCCCTGCAATAACCGCACCTGCCCACCGGAGTGGCACGCACTGGACTGGTCTGAGGTACAACAGCACCTGCACCTGTAGTCATTTGTTGCGATGAATTTGGCACAGAGACAGACACTCAGTAGGTTTACATGCACACCAGTGGTTTGATGTTAGTCTGACTAAATGTGGAACAGATATGCTTCCATTTTATCACTGATTCAGTCCACAGCAGCTGCACTAGACTTGCATCTTACATGCAGCAAAACGTGAGGCCATGCGTCCTGCTGTGTTTTGTTACACGTCAAATCAGTTTTTTTTTCACTTTGACACACACTTGCTTACACTTCACACTTATGCTATGCATATGCAGTACTAATGTGATGGTGACGGATTTGGGGAAGTCTGACTAAGAATATGTTTCAACTGTGACACACATTTAATCCTAGATGTACAGTATAAATCTACTGCTGTATGGCCAAAAGTGAGTTTTTGTGTTATCGAGTTAAGGTATTTCAGACATGCCCATTGTGCACATAGCCAGGCTGTCTCCATAGGCAAACATTGGTAGTAGAATAGGTCACAAAGCATGCCGCCTTTGCCACAAGTCAGTTAATAAAATTTCTGCCCTGTTAGATCTGCCCCAGTTAACTGTAAGTACTAATACAACGCTACCTACCAGAATGCATAGTGCTAACAGTAAAGTTTGGTGGAGGAGGGATAATGGGCTGGGTTTGGGCTCCTTAGTTCCAGTGAAGGGTGAAGGGTTAAGTATTGATGAGTTTGGTCTGGAGGAACTCCAATGGTCTGCACAGAGGCCTGACCTCAACCCCATCAAACACCTTTGGGGTAAATTAGAACGTTGATTGTGAGTCAGGTCCTCTCGTCCAACATCACTTTCTGACCTCACAAATGCTCTTTTGACTGAATGCACACAGATTTCCCACAAACACACTCCAAAATCTTGTAGAAAGCTTCCTGGAAGAGTGGAAGCTGTTATAGCTGCAAAGGGGGACCAACTCCATTGTAACGCCCATGGTTTTGGAATGGAATGCCTCAGGGTGGCGCTGTAGCAAAGTAGTTTAACCTGTTGGTTCTTCATAGCCCAGTGACTTCAACTATGCTCAGAATACCTCTGGAAAACTTCACAATGTGCTGTAGCATATTTTTAAAACTGAAAACTTGCCTAATTTCACAAGAGACTGATGGAAAAAGTGAATTTTTAGTTATTTCTCAAACCAAAGACTGCATTACCAAACCAGAAGAGAACCTTCCCAAAAGAGGAACTGTTGGACCAAGCAGTTAGCCAACACTGGAGTAGACAGCCAACATGGAACCCCCAAATACCAAGGAGCATTCCACACACTGCTTTTGGCCGTATAGTGTATTTTGGCTGTTTACTTAACTCTGTACATACAGTCTAACTCTCTCTCTCTCTCTCTCTCTCTCTCTCTCTCTCTCTCTCTCTCTCAGTGCACTCCTAGCTGTGGTCCTGGTTATAGGCAGAGGGTGATCCTCTGTAGAAGTGGAGAGGGTGGTGACACTTTGGCTGAATCTGAGTGCCCAAAGCATAGCCGTCCCACCACTAGGATGCGCTGTAACCTGCAGCGCTGCCCGCCTCCACAGTGGCTCATTGGACCCTGGAGTGAGGTAAGATAAGGGCACAGAGCCAATTCAGTAGAACTCCAAAAAACACAGCACAAAAAATGCATCCCATCCTAAGCAGCTTCCTATCAACAACCATTTTCTCTGTCTGTTTGCACTTTGTACACTGTTTTAATTTCTGCATTATTTAATGCTTCTTGCTTTATTCAGTGGTTAAACAGAGCCAGTCAGACTGGTTTGATATGAAATGGTTCATTGTAGAGACAGTTACACTCAGATGTCTTTACAGTGGTGGTGATAGGAACCAGGGGTCGCGATTTCTACAGCACAAATACAGCCATTTTATTTACTATCCAAAATTACCAGTGAATCTACATGTGTCTTCTGAGTTTTATATGTAATGTTGGTGATGGTAAAATAGTGGGAAAATCTGGGGGAAAAAAGTTTTACCTTAGAACACCCTGCAAGTACCCCTATTTAAACGTTATACTTTTTTTTTAAAAACATAAAAATAACAAAAACTGCAAACTGTATATATGACAGAGACTGCTTCATGTCAGACAGCTGCATCAGCAGTAAACAAGACTAAGTCACACATAAAGCACCTTCATAAAGGTTCGTCTTTGCTTTAACTTTGATCTTGGATTAGCTTCTCTGCCCCCAGGAATGCACACAAACTAAAACAGGGATGTTGTTGTTTATGCTATGATACAACGGTACAATTAAAAGTGCATTGCAAACTCGTAAACATGATGCATATCCAAAAGAAAAATGCGTTCACCAGCATAACTACACCTAAACTACATTTCCCAAACACACTGCAAATGCAGAAAACACATGCAACTTCAGAAATGCTGCAGAGCCAGTCACAACACAACGGAGGTGAGACACAACACGATGGAAATGTCCTTTCAAGACTCTCAAAGAACATGGAATATTGGTGATGGAAACAAGCTGATAAGACTGTAGAGACTCACTTTCAAATATGTTCATAGCTAATTAGGCCAGCTAGTAGCTATTTCACGTCACACCTGTATTATGGTAGTTATCAGTCATATCTATTATTGATATTTGAAATGTTGCAGTTACACTCTAGAGCTAACTCCCATTAAGATCCAGTGATAGTATTACATACATACATACATCATCTAAACCGCTTATCCTTCTGGGTCGCGGTGGGGTGCTGGAGCCTATCGTAGCCGTCATTGGGCGGAAGGCAGGATACACCCTGGACAGGTCGCCAGTCCATCGCAGGGCAGACAGACAGACATACACACACATTCACACCTAGGGGCAATTTAGCCGGTCCAAATGGCCTGTCTTTGGACTGTGGGAGGAAACCGGAGTACCCGGAGGAAACCCACGCAGACACGGGGAGAACATGCAAACTCCACACAGAAAGGACCCTGGTCAGCCGGCCGGGAATCAAACCCAGGCCCTTGTTGCTGCGAGGCAACAGCGCTACACACTGCGCCACCGTGCCGCCCATGATAGTATTAAATAAGCTCAAATAAAGGTTACTTACTTTTACTGTTGAATGTTTATGCTGCATAGAATTTAAAAGTTTGGACAACTTGGTCCTCTTTAAGTGTCCTTTGGAAGCATTTCCGTTGTGTTGTGACTGACTCTGCTGCATTTCTGTAGTTATGTGTATTTTCTGTATTCGCATCGTGTTTTTGAAGTGTGGCGCTGGTGTCGTCATTTTGAAGAGGTGTTCTCTGGATTTGCAGAGCATCTGTGGATTTGCACCTCATTTTATAATTTTGCAGAGCGTTTGTCAGATGCAGCACATATGGTGTGATTTTGTTGAAGCTGTTTTCTGTGTTTGCAGCTCGTTTTTTCTTTGCAGTTTGTGGGGTCTTTTCAGCCACCATTCCACACTAAAAACCCCTGCTAACGTCCCACACACAGTTGGGAGTTGACCATGAAAATATAATTGCAAACAGGGTAGAAATATACATTTTCAGTTTGTCAGAGCCGGAGCATGATGATGAGAAAATGCCCTTGCAGATGGGGGACTGTTATTCCTGTTAATAGAAACGAGTTATAACGTTAAGATAATGAAAATGAAATATTAAGAGACTTTGCTTTTGGGTTCAAATCTGATTTTGCGTTTAAATCGGATTTTATGTCT